TAGTTGGCATTTTTTTAGGTGCAGTCTCCGCGTCGTGGCATCACGCTGCATGATATTTACGGAAGGACGAGCCCTACGTACAGCGAGCCTCCGCCTTAATTGTCGGTTCGAGCGGAAAAACCGGAAGCTCGGCAAATTTAATTGGACTTGATTGGATTGCGTTGGAGGCGCACGCGCGTGCCTAGTTTTTTTTTTTTTTTTTTTTTTTCAACTTTACGTTTACATTATTTCCTTCCTTTTACGGCACGCTTCAAGGTACATGGGATGTCCGGGCGCTCTCACTTTGACCCGCGAGATTTTTCGTGTTTTACCGGCGCGTGTCGTGTTGCGATGATTACAGAGACTCGCATACCCGCATGCGTACATATACGTGCACCGGTGCACGGGGGAACGTGAAACATGCGCGTGACGGAATTTAAGGATCCAGTGTTCGACATATCGGAAAATTTTCCACGTGATCCTGCAACGCGGGAAAAATAATTAAATTTCAATCTTCATAAAGGCTTGTAGAAAAAAACAATATACTGCACAGAACCTGGTATTCTTTTTTCATGCCCCTGTAAAAATGGAACCACGAAGACAGGGAAAAAACAGCGAAAGGTGATGTAAAACTCGGAAAAGTCGAGAGAGCTGGGGGGGGGGAGGCGGAAGAACAATAAGTAATTAGCCAATCGCATAAATTTTCCTTAAGTAGTCGGAGAGCGCGCGACAGGTGCAGCCGCCAAGGCACGTGTAGAAGTTACGAGAGCTCTTCTCCAAGATGGAGGAGTAAACCATGGAGACAAGGAAGAGAAGAGGATGGAGGGGAAGGGGGGTTGCGAGAGTCCGAGGAGCGAATTCGCGTAATGGGCGCAGACGTGTATAAGAGAGAGGAATGGAAGTTTCGGGGAAGATGGCTGGAGACGGAATTGGAGGCGGCGAAAGCTGCACCGCACCAGGTAACCCACCCCTTCCTTCGAAGCCCGAAATTTCGCTCGCTCGGCAAAGTTTTGACGGGCGGCGCCTGACGCGTCCAGGTCTGTCATTAAGCCGCTCGGCTTCTCTATATGTGGTATTCCGTTTGTTACTGTTGCTCCATTTTCTCCTCTGCCATTAGCTCCCCTATCTCGCGCGTACCATCAACCACAACGACATCTGTTTTACAAGGTAATAGCACCACCCCTGTGGCATTGTCTCTTATAGAGGTTTTTACAAGAGGGAAGGGAAGAAAAAAAAAAAAAGAAAAACGGTAAAGCGTCGCTTTTTATCTAGTGCCGGAGCTACTGTTGCTCCCCATCCCTCCCCCGTGGGGAGGAGGGTACATTTTTTATGATAATGGCTCGCCACTCGTACACACTTGTCTCCTCCTCCTCCTCCTCCTCCTCCTTTTGCAGGGAGCCGAGAGAGAGTAGCCTCGCGCTGCAATTTTACAGCGCCACCTGCTGTGAAAATTCTTTTAACGTCCGCGCTCTTTCCTTCGTTTCTCCTTTTATACGCGCGAGAGCGTGTGTATTAACTCCACATCCTCCTCCTCTGCGGCGTATATGATAAAAGTAGGAAACTGATGTAAGTACTTTTGAGCACGAGTTTCATGGCTCTTTTTTGCACTTTCCGGGGAGGGACAGAGCCATATAAGAGAGGACCAAGGGGGAGGAGAGAAGAGGAATACCATGTACTCGCTCTCTCTTTACCGGCTATAGGCGTAGGTACCAGATGTTAATTATGTTATGTCAGGGAAAATGATATGTAGCCCTCCACCCCCACCTTTTCATTTTGCTGACTTGACCTGTACACCCCCTTTCGGAGAAGAAGAAAACTGCACTGCCCCTATAACTTTGGATTTGACGCAGCTGTGTGATACATACTTACCTTGACAATTTGCATGAAATTTTTTTTTTCTTATTACTTGTCAATTTTATAATGGACGTATACATCTTAAACACGTATACTTTTGGTGGAGGGTTAATTCAATGAAATGAACGTAACAACAATTGTGTATGTTCGTGCGTGTATGATACATGCGGTATACTCAACTTTATTTGGCAACAAATAAGTTTTCTTCTTTTTTTTTTTTTTTTTTTTTTGTTTGTTTTTACACAACGCTCGCTCAACATACGCAGCTACATCCAAATCGTCATTGCTTTTTCTCCGTCCTCCCATTCCATCTCTTTTTCTCACCCCTTTTCATCCCTCCGCGTCGCTTCGCCATGTCCATTGGCGTTTTTCCTCGTCGTTATTTGCAATATTTATACATGTATATTTATATATCATTCTCTATATGTTAACAATGAACAACTCAATTATACATCGTTTGGCGTATTGTTTCTATATCCATATTTGGGTATGTATACATAAATGTGTGTATCGCTTGTATATATATTATATTATTGTTATACGTATCATTGACGCGCGCGAATTCTTGCTTTTTAGTTTCTACACCTCTCAATCGCCATTGCATCGCTCGTCTGAAGTAATATATATATATAGAAGCGTTGCGTCGTCACCTTGAACTCGATAAATATACTGATTACAGTTCATACATGTATTATATACTTGTCTTCTTCGTGAATATATGAATACACGTGTATTTGGTGTAGTCGTTTCAACAGCGCACATTTATGGTTTTTTGATTTTTATATCAACGATTTTTGAAAGTTGTCCGTACGATCATTCAAGGAAAACACTACACGCAGTACAGGTGTATAGGAAACCATTGAGGATGCACTCGTTCACAAGTACATGTGTGTCAAGCATCGCGAGTCGAGTGTCAAAATAAACGGTGCGTACAATCTTCGTTTCAACAATCGGTGCATTTTGCCACACCCCCGGATTTCCTGTGTATAAAATCCACCTGTCGATACTTTTTAATCTCCAGAGCACCTATCTTTCGAAAAAAAAAAAAAAAAAAAGGGCAAAAATCAACGCATTCGGATATCTATCGCTTTCTACTCTATCCGATCCACCCCACGCATAAGTACAGACAACTTTATACCTGCATCTTACGATTCATCCCAACACCCACTCCACCGCTCTAATACGTATATCATCGGGCACGCGACGTATTATATATTTCACCCACTGCTCGTTACACCCGTAAAGCTTGGTCTCCCTGAAGTAATACACGCCGTAAAATACACTTGCTCTCATCTCCTTGGCAATCGCATTACCTTATATATACCTTATAACACAGTAGCAGCCGGCGATACAAGCCAGTATGTATATATAGTAGGAGCGCGCGGTGGCTCAGTCGGCTGGGTCGTGGATTGAGACGCGGGAGACCGTGTTTCAATTCCCGGCTACAGTGCGACTTTTTCGGGCAAGTACCTCTGTGATTCTCACATGTGCTTTTTCACCACGCAATGCTCCTCGAGGAGGGTTTAGGCGACCTTCTCGCAGCAAAATTGCCTAATTCCCCCTTACCCCCCCTCCCAATAATGGGAGGCCTCCCATCCCTCTTCCCTTCCTTCTCCCAAGTGCTAAGTGCCCTGTGTAGTGCCCTTTATAGGAGCCAGACGTAAAGCACTATAATATAAAAAAAAAAAAAAAAAATGTATATAGTACCGGCATACAAGGTATGGCGCATGCGGTGCACATGACGAAAAAATCAACGGCGAGGTCCCATTACGGGGGTGCCGCGTCTCCCATTCATGCCGTTTAACGCGCAGAATTTTTCGCAGAGATACGCGAAGCGCGTAACAATTGATGCATCGTTTTTTCTCTCTCTCTCTCTCTCTCATCCTTGAATCCTCGAATACAAACGAAAGAATCGCAATAATACGCGATTCGCATCTCTCGCGTTCCATGAAACGAAGAGAGAAGGACCACTGCTACCCCGTTTCCCTCCAGCTTCTTCGTATTTTTGCATAAAACGGAAAAAAGCTCGCGATCGCGAGGTATGGTCGTTTCGTTCAACGAGTACTTTTCAAGCGAAGCTACGACTATGTATATTTACACCAGAGGGCACGTTTTTCGTAAAAATACGCTTATTTGTCTATTGAACGATAGTACAGGTCGATGGGGAGTGAGCTATACGCTAACTATGGTCGAATCAAACGTCGGAAGGGGATCTAGGTACAAAATTTATTTGGTCTCGGTGCAACGAGGGCTAATTTTTTACACTCAAGCTCGTGGTTCGTAAAAAGTCTTTCTAATCTAAAATTAATAATATACCTATATTCTCGCGTTTTGCCTACAATGGAAGTATAAAAAAGTGTGAGTGTACCCTTTTTTCTCTGAAACGAACGTATATGAATTGCTCTACGTCCAGACTCGGGGCACGATAATCTCATGGATTTTTCAACATATTCAAACAAAAGTTTTTTTTTCTTTTTATCACAGTGCAAAGTGCAATGTAATACTTATTACTGTATTTCATACGTTATTTTGAATGAAATATTTAGATACTTTTACTATTATTCTTCCTCCAAATTGTAATTTATCCTCTTAGTTGGAAATTTTGTCAAGCACTGTATTATAAATATGGGGGTAGTTAGAAAAAAAAAAGTTTCTTAGCATAAATAAAGCATTACACTTTTAGCGAAAAATTAGCTTTTTCAATAAAAGTATGTCCGTGCCCAAGCCTGTCCACATTAAAGTAAATGTCCGAACGAGGTGACGAAATTCAGTTCAAAAACGTTACTAAAAAAAAAAAAAAAAAACCGCATGAAATAAACAAGAGTGCAGGAATTGTCGTGTCGCTGCATTTCGAGGAAACGTCAACGTCAACATTCTCGTAAAAATTCATAGGATCTCCCCAATTCTGGTCAACCGTTGGAATTAAAATACAAAAGGGGGGCAGGGGACATTTATTCGATCACAATATATTCGTTGAAAAAGCTCCGACTATAGTGCACCTCCTTTACGCACACAATACTCTACGACCGACCTACTCGACAGACTTTTTTTATATACTCGCACAAAAATATTAAAACGCTTCGCCGATTCGTCTCAACCAAAACGTCATGAACAAAATTTCACACCTTGCCATCCCCGCCAAACCTACGCAACATCATCAATACGTGATTACCGTGATCACCTGCAGTAGAGCAAAAGCGGCAGCAGACTTGCCAGGAGGGCCTTGCAACACGAACCGCTGGCCAGCGAGTGCTGGTGGTTGGGGTGGCGCCTTATCACCCGTGGCCGTTTTGTCCCCGAGTTACCATTCACCGGGGCTTTGGTGTTTGGGTCCATGACCGCATTGTTGTCCAACGTGTCCCAGCGCTCGATCTTCATGGACGAGTTGTTGTTGCCGTACTCGCCGCTGAAGCCACCCGACTGGTGCTCGACGTGCGAATACTCCCCCGGTGACTTTTGCTTCACGACGCTCGTTATGTCTGCAAACAGATATCCCGTAATTTTTATTTTTTTCCCCGACACCCCGTCAAAGGAGAGAACGCAAACTTGCGGAATATCGCGAGAGGTAGAGGAGGGAAAAAAAAGGTACACGCTCCTCCGAGCGGTATTCAAATGAGTCCCCGTGCTTAGCCCACTTTGGGGCGAAAGTGGACAAAGCGAAATTTGTAATTGTAATCCCCGGGGAAAACGTAATTAGTGAAAAATCTTTTCTTTTTTTTTGTCTGTCCCCCGACCCCCTATCCGTGCAAATAGAGGAAAGGGAAAAGAACAGCGAAGTAATGAAGCGGAGAGGAAGCTCAAGGTAAACACAAAACGACAAGGAGGAGGGGGGTGGGTCAGACGCCTGATTCTGTTAAATCCTCCAACAATCCTCTCCTCGGGAAATAAGACGACTACAGGTGTATACTCCCCGCTGCTGCCGTGATGGTGGTGGTGGTGGTGGTCCAGCGCTGGGGGCACGAAGGGCGGCTTGCAACGTTAATCAAATGAAGCGAGAGCGAAAGCGCCTTGCATTGGTTTATCAAATTATTTCGCGTCTACGCTGCAGAGCCGTCTGAGCCCACCCCCCTGCGCTTGGTTGTCTGATGAAAAATACTTGGTAGGGTAATAAAGGTAATTGTTTGCCGGGGGAGAAGGAGTACGGGGGCGACAGACGTGTGTCGGTGGACAAATAATTTTAATGTTTTTCGAGCAATGGCAGGAAATTCAAGACAAGAGATGAAATATCGAGATGCGACGACACCGACGCGACCCTTGCTCGGTGATTTTAATATCAGCCTGTGTAATAAAGTCCCGCTTGCCCCGTCTGTAGGTATATTAACTTCTGGTCGCTCTTGCCCCCCATCCCCTTACAGCCCCTTTCGACGTTAACGTTGCGCCGTTCGCTGTACACGTGGAGAAAGGGATAAGAGGAGCGAACGACGCTTTATAAATTCGCTCGTCGGCAAATTAAACATGTAATGGAAAAATCTACGCTGTATTCTTTTTTTCGGAAAATTGTCAAAACTTGATTGACTCTTTGAGAAAAAAAAAAAAAAAAAGTAATAATAATAATTCGTCATTTCATTTTGATGGTGCAAGTATAACGATGAAGCTTGTTCGTAAGACGCAGCGGTCGGGATCTTTTAATTGTAAAATATCTCGGTTCGTGTGGCAATAAGGGTTGTTCATCCATCGCTGCCGCAGCGACATTACTATTCATCCTGGCAAAGTGAAACGAAAAGTTGTGCTCTTGCAGGTAGGGATGTACACACGTATGTTTGGCTGGTAAAAGACAGACAGATAGGGCAGACAAAATTGAAACAAGTCACACGGCATGCATGCGCCACCACCACCACGGCGCTCGAAGGGGAATTCGAAATATAATTTCGCGCCAGAGTGTGTCTGTACTTTTTACCCCCTTTTTCTCTTTCTCTGCCTATATACATCCCCCCCTCGTCCTCGACACTCTGCGCCCGGGCGTCTTATCTTCTGAAAATCCCGGAAGGCTTCATCCTCCCGGCGTCCCAAAGTGAGGATGCATGTACACGGCCAAACGCGCCTCTTTCTCCCTTCTTTTGCTCTCTGTTTATTTGTTTATTTCTTTTTTTTCCAAGAGTATCTTCGAGCAAATTCCCTTACGCGTACGACCATGGATTCGCCTGGATGTTCCACACGAGAAAATTATGGTTTGGTGAAAACAAAATTTCATTTGCACTTTTATTTCGTTTCACAGTTTACCAGATAAACTCAGGTTGAAAGCTGATCGCATTAGCCTGAAATAACCCCCCCCCCCCAAAAAACAAAAATAGGACATGTTCGCGGTTTCCCTCATACTTCCGAGGGCACGCGGGAGATGAGAATCTTCTTCAGCCCACAGGTGTGCCTCGGAACATTTTCTTCTCGATCCCAGAGGACTCCCAGCAAAAATTTGTTTGCGAGATCACTCGCTATAAGACACCTTTGCAGAAAAAAAAAAAAAAAAAAAAAAAAACAATAACTCACCGTACAGCCGTATGCTGCCCTCGTTTTCCCCGTTGGAATTTTTGGCGGCGCACTTGTAGTTGCCGACGTCCTGTTTCGTGAAATTGTGTATGGTCAGCAGCATTTTCAGCTTGAAGCTCGGATGGGACGAGCCGTGGGCCTTGGCCGGCGCCTTGGCCACCACCTGCACCTCGTGCCGGCCGCTCGATATGATCATCGTATCTTTAATAGAAAAAAAAAAAAAAAAAAAAAGAACAGAGCAAAACTTAACACTTCCCCGTTGCACCAAAGCCCCTTCCCGTGGCTCATTCGCCGGCCGCAAACTCAATAAACATCCATCGGCGGAGTTTATCGGCGAATGACGGGAAGCCACCGCTGAGCTGTGCAGCCAAAGATAAGCTCGGTATATCAGCTTACGGGTGTCCAACTATTCGGCCGCGCTTGAGCATCGAGGGCGTTCGCTCTGCAGCCGCGGACGCGGAGAAACGAGTGGCTTGCGCCAACAGTAGCGCGACGAAGCAAGGGGTCTACCGAAGTTTGGGTGGGATCATCGATGTTGAAACTTGCTCGATCGACTTCACGGGGGGAAAAAGGATCGGTAATGTGCTTATACCGATACGACGCGGCGGAAAACAGCGCGATCGGGGTCTTTTTGAATGGAAAAACAATGTTTGGGGGCAACGGAGCTTGCCGCGGTTGGGGGCATGCCTTATTTTGCCGATCAGGGAAATAGCTGCCGTGGAGGGCGAGTTGATGAACTCGGACGCGGCTGTGGGGTTGCGGCCGGCTCCTTCGCTTTCGGATCGTGTCTGATGCGCTTGGTAATGCGAGCCAACAGTTACCGAAACTGATCCTCTCTCTGTGCGGATACGTGCGCATTTTTGCGGGCTTCCGCGGTGCCGGTTATCTTTTCGCGGTTTCTCCTCCCTCTTTCGCGACTCACACGCTTTTTGCTTTTGATATTCTTTGCCTTGTCTAATGGTTTACTTTTTTTCCGTTTCGTTCAAACTTGGTGAGGTTTCTCTTATTTTCAGTTAGTCAATCGGACGATTATCTCGGATTCATTTTTCATCGTCGAGCAACAGATGGAACTTGATTACGCAAATTTTTTGCCAGGATTATCGTTGAAACTGCATTGTCATTCCAAACAAGTACTTTTTTACATACAAAAACCTTAACTGATGAAGTATATTGTCAACACATACGTAAAGTCTTGTAATACTTGTAATTAATAAAAAAAGTCACATAAAGTAAAGAAATGCTTAGAATATATTTGTTTAAATAGTGTTGAACGAAAAACAGTTTTTTCACTTTGTTGCTTGGAAATATTTCGAGGTTTTCCGATAAAATAAACAGCTAGTTAAAAAAAGCATCTTCTTTGAAAAAAAATAATATATCTTTCAGTGGCGAATCATAGTATAATTCTACAAGAGAACAAGCACAATTCTTTGAACTATAATTATTTCTTTAACAAAAATCGAAATCAAATTTTTCATTTTCACTGTAATCTCGGGCTCGCTTTTTCTTCGATCCAAATCTTAATTAGCTATGGTACTAAAGTCAAGCACCTCTTTCTAATGAACGAAGCAATTTTTTAACCGATGCACCATTTGCTTCCTACGTACTTTATCAAATGATGGGAAAAAAAGGTACAATCACGTGATGTACGTAGTGAACTTACTGTTATTGTTTCGCCAGAAGTTAATTGATTGCGGAAAGGCCTGGACAATGCATTCGAGGACGACGTCGGTCCCAAGGGGCGCGCCGACCAGTTGATTCGGCACTTGTATTTCCGGCTGAACTGTTGACACACATCCGTCCCCCGCAAATTGTCAGTTAAAAAGAGCAAAATGACGCGGTAAAAGGTTCATGAATCGAAACTCCGACAAACATTCGGCGCCAGACGTATTGATTAATCGATTTTTTTTTTTTTAGGTATAGCAGCATTTGTACGAGAACAAATAAATATTGCTGTGTCATGAAAAATAAATTTTCTCCAATTGAAAAAAAAAGATGCCTTATAACTCATGCAAAATCATTTAGATTACGTTCAGTGACGCGGAAAAAGATTTAATTCGTTGAAAGGAATAGAAAAACCCGCCAATCCGCGTAAAAAATCAATCGTAAACTCACGATGACTAATGATATCAAAAAATGAAAAAAATAGTCTTCCACATTTGTCATGATACGAACAGTGCACGTCGACGGTGATGCGTTTGCTGATGCTGGGGGGCACCCCGTTGCTCGCTATGCAATTGTAGACGCCCATCTCCTCTCGTTTGATCTTTGTCAGATTGAGGTCCTCACTGACGTACTCGAAGACTCGGCTAACTGTAATGACAAACAACAACAATAAAAACCCTATACGTAAGAGACGAGAGAAAAGCGACGTTTTCCCAAGCACGGGTCCTCAACCCTCTTTTGATTAGCGTCCTTGGGCCGGTGAAATGAGATTTGTGATCGTAAAAGTTGAATATTTCATTTTTTTTTCTCGATATGAATTCTAGAAATGGAAAAAAAAGAGGTGAATAACTGGATCCGGGTTATTGTTAATAAGGATGAATTGCAGGAGTTGGATCGCGAGAGAAACGGGTTTGGGGGGGGGGAGGACGTTTTCAAGAGGTGCTGCCAAAGTTTATAGTACCAACCTCGAAACTTTTCATTGGAGCTCGGTGATTTATCGTGACTCGGCTCCCGAATAATTATTTCCTTTTGATCCTCCCTGCGCCAGCTGACTCGCGGGGGAGGGATGCCCGTGGCTCGGCAGCGCAGATGCGCCTGAAATTACGTTTACATTTTCTAAAACGCGGGTCCAAGTGCCTCATCCCCTTTTCCCCCCCAACGTTCGCTCCTTGGAAAAAGGGGCCGGGAAAAATTACCGCGTCTGCTGATTTGGCGTATTCAAAAATTAAGTGCGACACGAGTACCGTTGGAATCGTTAGCTTGATTTTTTTTTGCGTTAAAATTACTGTTAAAGGAACGAATCGTTGCTAATGTGATTTTGTTGAATTCCAACAGTCGAGCGTTTCCCAGGTATTTTGAGAATTTTCGCTAAATGCTTTTGCTGAAAATTATACAATTGCGTATTTAGCTCCCGAATTCCATCGCTATAGTGTACACTGGAGTTGGAAACAGATTTTTAAAAACATTTTTACCCCTCATACCTGGCAGTTTCCACATTTCGACGAGATTTCATTAAATTGTAAAATACATGGACTATATTAATCAGTTTTCGATACATCGAGCTTCAATCATTTAATTTCGTTCACTTTGTTATTTATACTTTTTTGCTCCACGGTATATTTTCGAAAGAAAAAAGCGCTCGCATGCTTCGTTTGTCTTTCGAGTAAGCACCAAAATCTTGACCGATATTTCCGAATCTTTACTCGATAATGTACCATAGCTCCTCTCGGAAGTGTTTTTACGTGAGTAAAGACGAGTTTTCCAATTTCCTTTGGAAACCCGTCGCTTCGCGTCAAGCTGACGCGGGTGATTTAATTTGTTGGAAAACAACCGACGACACCGTTGATACGAAGCGAATCCGAAGCGCGGACTTTTAATGAAGCACCTCGGCAAGGCATCCAAGTGCATCGATTCGATCTGTTTCTTTACAAGTGACTCATCGTAGGGCCAAGCACGATATACTGTATCGAAGTGTCACTTTTATTTTTTTCACACGTATAGGTACTTTCTCAATCTTGTATATCCATTTAATGCCTCGTCGCGAGTGAAAAAGTCACTGGGTATAGATTGTGTAAAAGTTGCATCGTTGTTTCGAGGACAACAGCGTGATGACCCTCGATTCAGCGTTCACGGGATTGAAAATAAAGCCTGATTTTTTTTGTTGTCTCGAAAAGCTGCCCAATCATACATGACATCTTCGAGCAGGGGTGTAAATAAAAGACGCCAAGTCATCGAGATGCACACTTTATTGATACCGCCGCGATTGACTTTCCACGCGGGCGAAAATAGACGATGGGAGAGGAGGGCGCTTCGGGAAATGCATTACTTACGTGTCGTCCTTCGGCAACAACCATGTCGCCCGACGTCTCGCCGGGGATGAAGTCGGGGGGCACCTCGACCGTCAGCATGCCCGTCTGGAAAACACACCAAGTATATTTGATTTATACATTTCTATGGATACGCTTACACCCCGCGCGCTGTTGCACCCTGGCAGGTGCGCCCTTCGATATGACACCGCGACTACGATACGCTCTATATACCATCTGTGGGATCGTCACGTCGATGATCCCGAGGGAAAAGGTCTTTTAAAGAGAAACAAATTAACGATACAAGAGTTGCCTGTGTGGAGTTGCGGAAGAGCAAAAAAAAAAAGTATAAGGGTGATGCTACAGCTTCGAAGATCGGTTGCGGTGTAAGGGGAGCACGTGTACTTCCACACCCCATTGTACGACGCCACGGAGCCCTTTAATTGGATGCGGGGCATCTACACGGTTTTGAGACGAGGAAGCTGATGCCCCCAGAGGTGAGGGATTACGTTGGTGCTCTGCACTGATTGAAATATTGTGTGGATACGGCACTTTATCGATCGACTCACGAAGATTCACCGCAAAATTGTAAACGTATAGGTGTACGCTTACAACGTGGTAATTGAGAATCATCGGTATTAAACAATTGTCCATTGTTCTCGAATTTTACTTTTATTCGACCTTGTAATGCGGCGCTGGGCACCCCACGTACGAATAAGCAAATATTATGCTTTACGTAGAGAGAATACATGCAGGTGTACCTGTACACTTACAAATACGTTGGATTTGTTTGACAATATATATATTGATTAAAAAAAAAAAAAAAAAAAAAAAAAAAAAAAAAAAAAAAAAAAAAAAAAA